ACTTTCGAACATTATTATATTACATGTATGTAATATGTGCACTGAATATATTTATTTAATCATTATATACGCGTATCTTTTATGTAATAATCACATTGAGAAAATACGTTCAATTGCAGCATTCTAAAATGGTAGACTCAACAAGCCAAGGACAAGCCTCGAAATGTTGCCAAATTTTATATTGCCTCCAGCATCAGTGATCTTGATATTTTAAGTTTTTTTTTTAGGGAGAATTGAAATTACTTTAGGTTGAAGTTATATGGACCATCTGGCAACACTGCTATGACCACTTACCACCACAAGCAAAAAAAAACTCGCCATACAGCCCTTTGTCTAAAGTATTTTTGCAGGGCAATTTCGATTTATTTTGCCAAAATTAGAGATAGTCTTTTTACATTTTTCTGTGGCACCTAAATTAATTTTTTGTAATCTTAAAACTCTCTGGGAAAATGAAGTGTAAATATTATATAAGCTCAACCGCATTTGTACATACATATACCCCTTTAATTCGATCATTCTCCCATTGCTAGCTTTCGAGGCACTTTCTCTCACTAATGTTTCAGTTAATTTCTTTCAATTTTCTTTGGTTTTATGTGTTCTCGTGTTACACATTTTGTAACCGATACTTTCTCTTCGAGAAACATCAATATACCAATTGAAGGATATGCATAGTTACTTTGCCCAAAAAACTTTTCAATATTATTATTAGTACATATATATTTAATGCAAATACAATATGTATGTATACAAAAAGGGCTCTTTAGAATAAACAGTTTTCAAACATTCGATAAAAAAGTTGCTTTGATTTGAATAAAACGCCTGAGGTTTTTTTTTTTAATTTTAAATATATGTATGTAAATGTAATAGTTAGCTGAATGCCTTATCCCATAGTGACCTCTACTTCTCTTCTTCTGCTTTCATTCAATTCTTAGCATAATTCTTATATACATACATAGTTTACGTACATACATAAATAATTTTAGGTTTTATGTAACAATTTGTACTCTTATTTCAGTATTTATGTAAATACTTTGTAGACCCTTTCCCGCAGTTTTTTGAAATTTTCACCATCCAATTACCCAATTGACACGTTTTCTTTATTTCGAATGCATCAAAATCAAAATCAAAATCAAATGTCACAATCAAAACATCGAAAACGATTATTAATGCGTTGTTGCGTACAGTGCTCGCCATGGTAGATGTGGACGTATTCACATATACAAAAACAAATTACCTACATATACTATTTTCCTTTAAACATACCTACTTATAACCAAACACATACTTACTTACACAACAAGCGTGAATATGTTTTATGCCAAACAAATGGCCAATTTAATTATGCTAATTGCAAAGCTGTGCATATTTTAATGCTACAGTCGGAAATGTGTCAAATTATAGGGCCTACGGATGCAGGATGTTCACTGCACGCAATTGCCATCCGAATCGGAATGGTTTATTATACATAGTGGAACTTGAAATCAGCAATCTAGAATATATATGAAATGTGAAAGTGAATCAAAATCAAATACCTAAATAATAGAAAACTACTTTGTTAATTCGTTTGTATGGAAGAAAATATATGTGTAGTTGTACATAGGTGCACACAAAGCGGAAATGCAAGTCAAACTGAAAGCAAAAAGCCAAGAGCGAACCGCTCAAAGCATTTCGCCGCAATGTGCATACTCGTATTTCAATATGTCAGTACCCCACCCGACCAGCTACAGTACCACCCACAAAGTACAGTTGTTATGGAATTGAACTTGTTTTTATTGTAGTATTTAGCTTGCTAGCAAATGTTTACTGCTCAAATTAACTGTTAACTTTGCTAGCCTCAGCTAGCTAAGTCAATGCGTGTTATTACAAGTATGTTTTGTTTTTTTTTTTTTTTTAATTTTCTCTTTACGTAAGAACGCTTTTTATTGCAAATAAAGCAAATTTACTGGTTCCAAGAGTTCATAAATATTTGCCGTTTTCATACAAGTAACACAGTTTAATAAATTGTCATGCATTGTTGGTAGTTGTAATTAATTTAATTGGTCAAACGCGCTTACACGTTGAAAAACCAATTATCTTTGATGTGATTTTTGTTTTTTTTGATATTAATATGGGTACATTTTATTTTATTTTTTTAATTGGAAAAAAAAATGGTTAACAATAAAAAAAAAAATGTTGTAATCAAAACTTTAGCGCCACTTTTAACACTTTAAGCTTCTTCTTTGCCAACAATACAGAACAAAAACAGTACAAACAAGTGTAAATAATGTAGTGAATTGTTGACCTTTATCAAACAAGAAAAAGCGACAAATTTTGTTTTAAACTTACAAAAAATCGACTGCAGACCCGATTGCTAGTATTGTGTACTCGTTATACGCTTTACTCGTTACCGATTTGATTTGGAACGGCATTAAAGTGTTTCGAGAAAAATCTGTAGTTTTAAGAAAGTAGGTAGCAGCTGCAAAGCGAACTTTGTGTCTTTCAATATAAAAAACGGGTAGTAATATTTCGAAGAAGAGACATTCAAGCTTACCGAGATGGATACCTTCATAAGTAATAGGGCTGGGAGGCTCGAATAGTTTATTGATATTCGCATTTACGAATAGTGTATAGTGTTCGAATCTAAAAATTAACAATCAAATAGCAATTGCTTATGTACTGATGAAGTGTTCTATTTTGCAACTCAATATATTCAGTAAGTTTGAGAAAAGTTTTACCAAAATCTGTTCAACAACTATTTAGAATATGTGGATATCCATAGGTGCATATGCTTCTGGTATCGGTACCGGGAAAATAATTAAAATTTTCTTTCATTTGCTTTTTTAACTTTTTTTCATTTTTTAGTTTCTTATTGGCATCTCGCACGCCGTTTTCAAAAGAGACACAACTCAAAATTTGGCATTTTTGAAGTTATTCGCTAAAAATGCACACATAGCTTTTATTTACCTTTCAGCAAAAGCTGGAACAAATTATTGTTATAATTTGTTAAAAATTATTATCATTGTGCCAAAAAATAGTTTTTCGCATTTTCTGGTTTTGAGTTGTGCCCGTTTCGAAGACGGTGTGCGGTTTGTATGGAATCCGATTTTTTATCTCATTGAAAAAAAATTAAATTTCTTTAAAAAATTATTTTTCTTGTATCTTTTTTTTTTGTAAATTTTAGACTTTTTATTTCACGCATTTTTTAGTAAGTTAAGTTTTAAAGCCAGACTTTTTTGAAGTTTTAGTTATGTTGTACCGGTAAGCATGAATTAGCTTTAAAACGCTTAAAAATTTGTTGCGAATTACGTAAATATATTAAGAAAGACAATTTAATTTGTCAAACCAATAGTGAAATGGCGCACAGTTCCTACAGGCAGTTAAGTGCTTTTCTCATTACCACCCATACTACAGCCCAAATAGAAACCCCGCCAGTATGTTAGCTTGTCACATCCACCTCAATCGTTTAGCTGCTACGTGCCCATCATTTAGCCTATATAGAGCTCCCAAACCAATTCTACAATTAACAGTGTTCAACCGACTGGCTGCAGCAGCAACTTCAGATTAGCTTAACGAACTATCATGCATAGAACTAATTTTATATTTAGATAGTTCTTATTTATATTTCTTTGTTTTTATAACTTTTAATTTTTATTTCACAAAAACTTACAGTTAATCAACAAAAAATATTGTTTTTTTTTCAATTATACATAAATTTTTTACCAACCTGATGATATGTATATAGTACGTGTTAAACCGTTTATATTTTTTTTCTGTTTTTTTTTTTCTGTCCTCACCTCTTATAAGTACATGTGTTCGTGTATTTTTATGTTGCGTGCAATTGACACCTAACTATTTTTAGTTAATCTATTTTTAAACCAAAAAAAAACAAATAAAATATATAATTAACAGAACATTATTTTTTGAAGTATATACATACGTAATTAATTTTAACTGTAAGTCACTTTGTCTTTAGTTTTATAAGTTTTCTTCTCTCTGTTTACACTAAATCAAAATCCAGCATTTCGCATTTCGTGTGCTAGTTCCAAGCATTTCAGCACCATACTGATCATTTAAGAGTTAATACACCTAACGGTAAACACCTCTCCCTTCAAAAGTCAAGGCCCTCACCTTTTCCTCTCGTAGTCTTCACTTCAACAGTCCAGCAATCCAAAACAGCAACAGAAAAATCACGAAAGGATTAGCATAGCCATATGTATCTGAAAACCCTTAAATATTTTTATTTAATACAATATTTTAGTTCTAATACTCTTATACGTTTTTCAATTTTCACAAAATTGTATACTTTAACCGCTGTAGGTAAGTGTCAAGTAGGCACATTTGTGTAATAAGTCCCAAACTCATAGCGCATACATTTGTACGCCCTCGGTGGCTAGAAGGCTCCATTCACCCCGCATCAAGGACTTAACCGATCGCCACTACATCCACCTGTTATTTCTTACACAAACCTCCAAAGCTCACACACACACACACTAGTCTCACCCACCCAGCGGTTCTAGATGCATATGCTAATAAATATTTATAAATAGTATAGAAACCCTTGAAATTAGGCTGGCATGATCCTTTGGAACTGGTTTGATGTAAAAAAAAAGCTGAAAATGCTTGAAAGTGTGTGACTTGCAACAAAGTAACCAACAACAGTTTTCAGCGCCTTGACTAAATGACTTTCAGTGTAAGATCCCTGCCTCCCGGAAATGTATGCTTTCTAACAAGCAACAGCTGCCTCCAGCTGCACTTTACAAAAATGCTCTTATAAACTTACATTACTTTAAGTTTAGCGTCTCTTTAGATCTTTAACATTATCATTTAGTATATAATAGCCGTTGAAACTTAATTTGATTAGCGCAACCTTAAGTAAGACCTGTAATGCGTTTCAATTGAAGTACAACAAAAACATAATGCCTATACAAAAGAAAAAAGAAAAACCAAAAAAATAATACAAATTTTTAAGCAAAACAGAAAACAAGCCTCTGAATCGAATTGAATTGAATTCTACTCAACAGGTTATCGCAGTGATATCCATACTATTTATAGTCCTGTCTACCATAGCCCTGACGTTGAACACCCTACCACAACTACAACACAGTGAGAATGGTACACCATCCGATAATCCGCAATTGGCTATGGTTGAGGCCGTTTGCATATCGTGGTTCACCTTAGAGTATATACTTAGGTTTAGTGCGTCGCCGGACAAATGGAAATTCTTTAAGGGCGGCCTTAACATAATCGATCTATTGGCAATACTCCCATATTTTGTTTCCCTATTCCTATTGGAGACGAATAAGAATGCAACGGACCAGTTCCAGGATGTGCGCCGGGTGGTGCAAGTATTTCGCATCATGCGCATCCTGCGAATCCTTAAGCTGGCCCGTCACTCAACGGGCCTGCAGTCGTTAGGCTTTACGCTACGTAATTCATATAAGGAACTCGGTCTACTAATGCTGTTCCTGGCCATGGGCGTTCTCATATTTTCTTCGCTGGCATATTTTGCCGAAAAGGATGAAAAGGATACAAAATTCGTTTCAATACCGGAAACATTTTGGTGGGCGGGTATTACAATGACAACTGTTGGCTACGGGGACATCTATCCCACTACTGCACTGGGAAAGGTTATTGGTACTGTGTGTTGCATATGCGGTGTTCTGGTAATCGCTTTGCCTATTCCCATCATCGTTAACAATTTTGCTGAATTTTATAAGAACCAGATGCGACGCGAGAAGGCGCTCAAGCGACGTGAGGCGCTCGATCGGGCGAAACGTGAAGGCAGCATCGTCTCCTTTCATCATATCAATCTGAAAGATGCCTTTGCCAAATCCATGGATCTCATAGATGTTATTGTCGATACAGGTGCGTACAGTAAATTATTGAATACATATTTATATTTTAAAATATTATATAATAATCGTATAACAAAAATATTTCGAGAAAAATAATATACACATACGTATCAACACATATAAAATCATTCATAATCACAACATAATACTGAATTTATTTGTGTATTTAAGAGTTCATACATTTTAAATTCAATGTACATTTTAATAAAACACACAAAAATACTTTTTTAACACCTCAACACACTTTCGTATAACAAATATAAATACATACATAAATATATATGTAAATTAAACGTAAATAGTCGCCTATATGAAGAATAACAAAAGTTTAGTAAATTTTTCAAATCGTAGTTGTAGCTGCCTTGAAGTGAACTGCTGTCGTTGATTTGCTTAATTATTTGTACCTAATTTGTTGCATCTTTTCATCACCTTCGCTATATATAACTAGAATTTTTTTTTAAGCCTCCTGAAGGTTGCTTTTCTATTTATTTTATACAAAATCCTTTTTTTTTCTTTTTTATAATTCGATTGCATGTACTCGTTTTCTGAATTTCACTAGGCATTGAAATGACAAAAAATAGTTGTATTTTTTTTTGTAAATTCAAAGCCTAGACGAAACTCGGCATTACTATGAAAATAAATTACAGCCACATTACAGAAATTTCAATTATGTATGATATAAAACAAAAATCTTTGATGATAGAAATTTTCAAAATATCTCTAGCAATGTAGTTATTAAAATTTTTTATTATTAAAATGTAGCTTCATATCGGTCACAATTTACTCAAAAACCTTATTAATTAGAAATGAAATGATACCTGTGTAAGTAAATATACATAAGTAATATATCTATGCATATAAAAACAACATACTTATGTATATCTTAAGAACAAAAATTACATAAACTTAATTTAAAAAAATTCAAAATTTTCAGTTTTTAATTACGTTTAATATGCACAGAGAATAAAGCAAAAATATAGCATAACAATTCACACGAAAAATTAGGGGACTGTATCCACAGTACTGCAAAAATCCAGGTACCTAAGTACATACATACGTATGTATGTATATTGGTGCGGTCCTTAAATGTTTCGAACCCCGTTCCGACCAATTACCAAAAATAACATTTTTATTTTTATTTTATTTAGATATTTATGGGTATATCCAAATGTCACGTATGTGACAGTCGTATATTTCAATGAGATACAAACATGGAAAATACCTTTTTCTTTTACTTTTAACCGAAAAAAAGAAAACAATCGAACCGGTCCTTAAATATACCCCAGTAGATAATATCAGGAGTCAGGCCTCCCTGAGAGTCAAGATGCCTTCCACTCTACATTCCTTTCCCCTTTCTTTTTTGTATGGAGTGGCACAAATTGAAGGGCTTCTTCTTCGTTCCCATGGAAGGGCCTTCAGAAGGGCTTTTATAGGACGTACTTCAGAAGGCCTTTTGGAGGAGTTCTTTTAAAGTTGCTTCTTTAATTTATAAAAATCATACATCTTTGAAGTATTTGCTTACGGTTTATATCAATATGCTAAGCAAAGGAAGCATTTTTTTCAGCCCTTCTTGGGTAGGCCTCTTAGAATGGCTTTACTTAAGAAGGCCTACCTAAATTATCTTCTGGGACGCAATTAAAGAGTGACAAAAATGGAAGTTATTTTTTTTTCTTACAAAATCGGAAAACTCTTGCGAATTGTGGATAGCTGTTTTCATGAAACTTGTTTTAATATGACTTGGAGCAATTCTAGTTGTTTTTAGATTTTTTTAATTAATGCAACTTGTTTCAATTTTCTTTTACAACCCCATCCAAGTGTAAAACGCCAAGTGACAGAGCATGACGTGACATGAATTTCCATCGTGACATTTTTGTTAATATTGCTTTTATATGAATTTTTACACAAATTGAACATGATTTTTATGTCAGATATACTTGACTATGACTTCAGCGCCAGTAAAAATGTTATATGTATACCGTTTAAATAAAAGCAAAAGGTGGACGACGCTCATATTTTTACTTTTTTTTGGTGTTTACATACAATAATTAAAAGTATTTTTTTACCAAAGGTCCAATTTTGAACTTCGAAGGTCCATATCTCGATCTCGGAGGCTAACTTCGAAAAACGGAAAATTTACTTTTTTAATTATGACTCAATCTCTTAAAAAAATTGGTTTGGTGCAATACCCAGTGTTATTAAGATCAAAAAAATTAAAAATAATAATTAAAGGAACTAAAAAAACTATTTGCAGGCCGCGGGATTCAAACCCACGACCTCGAGGCTCACTTAAATTGCAATACTTCCGTCCATGCCTATGCTACCTACACCCCTTTTATGATTTTTTAAGAAACACATGCCAATCTTCACATGGATTGCCTGACACTCAAATCTTGCAACACATCCAATTTCAAGTATTTTTCATAAAGTTTAGGTCCTGTGAATAGGACGAACTCTAAAAAATGTACGGCTTTGCTTCGTTATCCTCGTTCTTACAGCTCCTGTAGCGCGAATCGGTGCGTAATTTTGCTAGCATATTCAAGATGGTGGACGCCCGCGTACCTCCTGGTGAGCAAACGCTGTAGACTTCAGTGAGCCCTCAAGCCGAATAAGTCGAAATGGCCCCACCGAAGCCCCCTCTCTTTTTGCCGTGGCCCAAGACTCCACTCGGATTGGTTACCGCATCGTGCACATGGGTTGCCCACGTTGCCCAAAGTGTGCGAACGAGGATGTAAGAGTCGGGATTGAGTAAAGGCGTGCCACGGTAACTGCATACCCAGAGCAACGACTATGCCCCATTGCTGTTGGCCCTCTCTCGACGAACAAAATTTACGCTCTACAAATCTCTTATCATGTTCGTCCTATATGGCGCAGAAACTTGGACGATGTCGAACAAAGATGAGAACACTTTGGTGGCTTTCGAGAGAACTATTCTACGCCAGATCTACGGCCCTGTTTTCGTGGACGACGGGTGTCGGAGAAGATGGAATGACGAACTGTATGAGCTTTTTAACGACATAGATATAGTTAAGCGCATAAAAATACAGCGATTGCGCTGGCTTGGACATGTTGTACGCATGGATGACGACGCTGTGGTGAAAAGATTCTTCGACTGCGCTTCCATGGGTGGACAACGAAAGCAAGGGCGCCCACGAACTCAATGGAAGGACCAAGTGCAGAAAGACCTGGCTGCGCTCGGGATAACCACCTGGCGAAAATTCGCACAGGAGAGAAGCAATCGGAGAAGATTTTTGGTCTCGTCCCAAACCGCCAAACTGTTTTAGTGCCAAATAAGAAGAAGAAGAAGAAGTATCCAATACTAAAAGTGTTATGTAGTAGAACTAAAATGAATGGTATGCTTTTGTTGGTTCGATCTAGTCTTTCCTTCTGTTAATACCACTGTCCCTATTCGAGTGAATCAAAATAATAAGCACAATTTTTACGTAGTTTGATAAGAAAAAAGTGGAATAAAATCCAATTATGTAAAGATTTTTACTTCATTTTCACCCCTTTGCTTTGAATTTAATCATTCTTCAAATTAGATCAAAAGGAAACTTCTCTGATACCCAAGTCCAGATAGATCTTGAAGAACATATGTGTACCTATTGAAGTGAAGCGGATAGACTTCATTTGAATTAACAAAGATTTACACTTTTTTATTTTAATATTGTTATTGAGCTTTGTACCACGATTATGTTTACTAGGAAACATGGAAAGGGCAACAAAGTCTAAGCGGTTGAAGTTATTTCGGAGATCACCATATCTACTAATCAGGCTTCTCTTTCTAGACCTCAGCATCCTAGAAAATTATATTGATATAAAAGGAAAGAACTCATTTTCTTACGTGTAATTCCTATGGGAAAACTAAAGGTTCGACGCAGGGCATCTTACAATTGTCCTCGAGAGGGAAGATTCATGGAGGATCATAACTATACCAAATGCTACAGTTTTAATCTTATTCTGGCCGCATTGCAGGATTTTTTTTTTAGCGTGGTCTAATGTACATACGTATGCACATATGTATACTATGCTTTTTCAATAATTTATTAAAACTGTGTATACAAATCTGTGTTCGTATGGAAAAGTAGCTTATGTCGGAAGGCTGGCTTTAGTATAACACAGGCCAACACAATTTAAGCAATGCTATGTTGCCTAAGATATTACAGTGGATTCTTATAAGATTTTTTTCCGTAGAATCCGAATCTGACCTTAAAGATATTGGATTACTTCTAGTTTTCAGTAAAATTAAGTTTAAGGGTGCCGGAAAACGCGTTTCTTGTCATTTTTGAACCTCTGTAACACAGGTTTACGCCGGCAGACTTTGCGGCGGCGGCGTAGTCAACTTCAAAAATAATCGGCGGCGGCGGCATTTTATTATCGATATATATCTAGAAATGGTTATCGATATTTTTATCGATTTTTTTATCAATACTATTATCGATTATTTATCGATTTTGTTATCAATTTTGTAATTGGTTTTTTTATTGATATTTTTATCGGTTTTGTTATCAATATTTTTGTCGATTTTCTAAACGATTTTTGTTATCGATCTTGTTATCTATATTTTTATCGATTTTGTTATCAATTTTCTAATCAATTTTGCTACCAATATCATTATCGATTTTGCTATCGAAATTTTTATCGAATTTGTCATCGTTTTTGTTATCGATATTTTTATTGGTTTTGTTATTGGTATTTTGTTGGGTTTTACTATCGGTTTTATTATCGATAAAAATGAAGATAAAGGAAGATAAATGTAATTAGAAGGAACAGGGGGCAGATGTAGGGATCTAGATAGAAAAAAGACAAAAATATAACCTTAAGCCATATATGTAATACTTCTATATTGGCAGTAAGCTAACTTCTCAATGTGTAAGCATTCCGAAATCAGAGCGAGACAGTCTAGTACTGTTTTTGTCAATGTATTGTGTAATTGAGTGCAGTTTTTGTATATGTGTTGTGTACATGTTTATTTATAAACGTATATGTTCCTTTTCTTTCGTACGTGTTTAT